CCTTCGCCCGTGACTTGCTTCGCAGAGCCAGACAACTATTATCATGCCACAAAAGACTGCAGATCCAGTGATCAAATCAGAAGATTGAATACAGCTTGCACTAAAAGCATTTAAGAATGGCCAGTTCAAAAGTATTCGTGCCGCAGCAGCAGCATATGATGTTCCCTACCGCACACTTACATACCGAATCAACGGTCGAAAATCACGGACTGATGTACCAGTAAACTGCCAGAAGCTTAGCAATCTTGAGGAAGCTTCTTTGAAGAAATGGATCCTTGATATGGATGAGCGTGGCCTACCACCAACTCATGCTACTGTACGCAAGATGGCAGATTTATTACTTTCTCATCAGAAACCTGGCACATCAACTGGAAAGAACTGGGTCAGCAACTTCATCAAACGGCATGATGATCTTATATCAAAATACACCTGCAAATATGATTATCAGCGTGCAAAATGTGAGGATCCAGAGATCATCAAGCAGTGGTTCAACGTAGTCCAGAATACTATAGTAAAATATGGTATTCTTGAACAGGATATCTACAACTTTGACGAAACTGGCTTCCAAATGGGTGTGGCCTCTACAGCAAAGGTTATTACTGCATCACGTCATCGAAATAGCTGTGTACAAGCTATACAACCAGGAAATTGCGAATGGGTTACTGTCATTGAATCCATCAATGCTTCTGGATGGTCTCTTCCCCCCATGATCATCTTCTCTGGCAAGGTCCATCAATCTCAATGGTATCAAGACATCAACCCTGATTGGGTGATTAGTCTAAGTGATAATGGATGGACCAATAATGAGCTTGGATTATTATGGTTGGAAAAGGTCTTTGAAAAGCATACTGCGCAGCGTACGCTAGGGAGACATCGGCTTCTGATTCTAGATGGCCATGCTAGCCATGAATCTGCGGAGTTTGATCTTTTCTGCAAGAATCATCATATCATCCCTCTTTATATGCCTTCTCATTCATCTTATAAGCTACAACCGCTTGATGTTGGCTGTTTTGCACCTCTAAAGGAGGCATATGGCATGCAGGTGATGAGCAGCATTCGAAAGGGCATTAATCATATTGATAAGGAGAACTTTCTGACTCTTTATAGAGAAGCACGAAAGGCCTTATCGTCTAAAAATATCCGCAGTGGATTTGAAGCCTCTGGTCTTGTTCCATTGAATTGCCAATGGGTGTTGGATAAGCTTACTATCAAGCATATTACACCACCATCTACTGCCCATGGGCCTTCAGATCAGACATGGACTGCAAAGACTCCTTATACAACTGCTGAGGTACAAAAGCAGATGCACCTCATCAAACAACTGATTAATTGCAACTCTGAAAGTCCTTCAAATGAAGCAATACGTCAGCTAGCAAAATCAGCTGAATGTACCATGCATAAAGTCCTCCTACTAGATCAGGAGGTAAAGGAGCTTTGTGCAGCAAATGAGGTATAAAAGCGAAAGCGTACAGCCCCTAGATCTTTTATTGCTACTGGGGGCGTTCTGACAGGGTCTGAAGGTTAATAACTTGCTCAAGAAGCAATACAGAGAATGGGCTTAGAGGATCTGATTCCTAGAAAGCGTGCGCCACCACGATGCAGTAACTGCCATCAAATTGGTCATATTAGAACCAGCTGCCCTAGGAGATAATATAATTCTTTTATGTTTGAGAAAAGGCTTTCATTTTATTGCGTAGTTGTAAGATATTTCATGGTTCTCTAACCATGGTCAAGATCGTGTGCCGTTCGGTTGGGTGTGCCGCTTGGTTGTGGATTACGTTAACTACTATTAAGAGATGACTAAGCTTATTATTAAGCATTCTCCATGATAAGGCTTGATAGCCACCTTGGGTATGGCTGTTGCATTTCATAGAAAAGATACAGATTCCTCTCTCGAACTGAACACCCGTCATCTTATCCTATTAAAAGGGTTGTTGCATCTTTTGTCAGTCTTGGAAATTTTTATCATTACATATATGCTGATGACAGCTGTTACACGCTGTTATAGCAACATTACGTCGAACGTCGCGGAGCTTTGAGCAAGATGGACTGGGAACGCAGTAGAAGGTAGCGTTTTCGTCAACATTTCCTCCGAGACAACTCTTTGCCTAATGGGGTCTCTCATGCTAGATTCGAAGATCATCGTGGTAGGGAGAGCTATCGACCGCCAGCTCCTCGAGGCTACAGTCGTCACACATCCCCTGCACGAACTCGTTCACCTCGGCTTGTCGCTGATACATGGGTGCCCTCCTCTAGTCGACACTACGGCCGTTTAAGAAGTCGTTCACCGTTACCTTTCAGACGTCATTCTCGGAGCCCCCCTTACCGGCACAGAGACTCCGAGCCTGGACTATTTGCAAACAGTGCCCCAAGGAGATTCTCGCCTAGACGAGATGCACGCCTCCGATCGCCTCAGATTGGGTGGCGTCCGCGTTCACCATATGGTGACCGCCCTCGTGATAGCTCTCGCGGTCGATCTGCCCCTAGACGGCGAGACCAAAGCCCTCCTAGGCAGGACTTTACATACTCGAAACGAGAGCGCTACCCATCAACTGTTGATCGTTACAAAAAGTCTGCTTCTCCCCTAAGGCGGGTTCCAGGTCGTGCCAGTGATATGACTCCCTTGATGGCAAGCCATCGTCGACGGAGTTCTTCACAAGAGTTCCGAGAGTGTCGTCCAGATAACAATACAAGCCAGGCGCGGCCTTCGCCTTCGACTAGGGCTGCTTCAACTATCCACAATTCAACTTCTAGCTCTCGTACGGACTCAAGGCGCTCATCTCCTCTAAATGACAGGACCAGTACGACGGTGCGCGAATCGAGAAGCGGGTCACCAGTGACTAGAGACTTTCCGCAGCGCCGCCTGTCTGTATCTTCTGATTATTCCTCATATCGCCAAGCTGAAACAATCTTGTCAAATGAACACAAAAGTGAAGAAGAGGCAACAGATATGCCGCCGACTTCAGTGCATATCGCTGCACTGTCAAATGATCGTAGTGTCTCCGACTCCAGGCTGGGGCGTCCAGAGAATAACCCGGAGCCTGCGGATGCAATTTCCAGCGCTACTCCTCAAAGTGGACCGAGAGCCGTCTGTACATCGTATGGCCAGACTGCATCGCCCAACATATCTGCAGGGCCCAAGCCGTCATTCAACGCTCGGGGCTCCATGGTATCCCTACTTTCTGCCCCGACTCGCCCCCGAGGAAATTTGAATCCGAAGGATTTTGCTCGTTCTACTCGTCGTGGACACGTGTCAATCTCGCAAGCAGCCCCTCCCACAGGCCCGCGCCATGGTCACATCCCGACTGGACCGAGTGTTGACTCTGATCGGCAGCATATCTATCGGCAAAACAGCTTATCTGGGACGTCTTATCCTCGCCAAAGGCCCACCAATTACCTTGCCGGCCTCAATACAATTGTCCCAGGAGGCAGACTTCTGACATACGACCTAGATACTGCTGTAGAAAAGAGGCTTGCCCAGTTAGAGATGGACAAAGAACGGCTATTTGAACAAATTGCAGATAGCCAAAGGCTGAAGCACCTTGTCATGAGAGACTGGGAGAGGCTAGACAGAGAGAGCTCTATCTGTGCCTTGAAGAGTGAGTTAGCTGAGGGTCATTTGCTATGTATAACTGATGGCGAGAGCATGCATACAAGTACCACATTTTAATGAGAAGCTGGGGTCAAATGACGAATCCTCTTCTGGTGAATCAATCCTATGCCTGAGTTGAAATCACTCTCTAAGACAGGCGTGGAGTGAGAACTTCGATCAGATGAGAGGGGACAAATATCAAATCATTTGGTCTTTGCACGGGAATATTCAACTTTCTGGAAATGACGTATCAGAGAGGTATAGCCAGCAGGTACCTAGTATAGCAGAAAGAATGAGGTTGGTCTGTGTAGTATGGACTATTATTCGGACCGACCTATTGACAATTGTAGCATAACTACGCAACGCGTCGTGTCGGGCCTTGGCGCGCAAGCTGAGGCTTCGTGTCAATATCTTAATATCCAGTATCCACTTTGCCAACTGTGTAATACCATCACGTCTGCGTGGATGACTTTACCCACTCTCTCCGCGACTTGCAATTGCCTCTATGAGTGCTAAATATTAACATCCTCTTCATTGTGGATGTGATTGTATTCCTGCTCCCAATCCATCGACATCAGGACTCGCAGATTCTCAACTTCCAGCTTTGGCTAGGAAGTTCATTTGACCAGTATGAATATCTTCAGGTTATCAGGTGAGCGACAGTATCATATCTCCTCATCAATCGGCTCTATCAAACTAATATACTTAATAGCTGATTTTTCTCATTTAATATCCATCTTTATCCTTTTGCATAAGATGAAGTCTTCTAGTGTACGACATTCCGATTAATTACGCTGATATTCTCTGACGCAGAAATGTAGAGCTGCTCTGGTTTATCTTTCAAATCACAAGTTTTGTATCTGCTGGTCTTTGTCACACGCTATCTTGGTGAGTCCTTTGCGCTGCCTTATGAGAAGCTTCCATTAACCATTATGACTGCCTAGATTTATTCTGGACTTTCACCGACTCCTTATACAACACCACCTTTAAAGTCCTGTTCATCTGCTCATCGGCTTACATTATCTACCTAATGCTCAACGATTACAAACCTACCCGGGATCCCAATTTGGACACATTTAAAGTCCAATACCTTCTAGGGATCAGTGCTATCTTGGCCGTCCTATTCCCACATGATTACAGCATTTCGGAGGTCTGTTACTTTCTCAGAAATAAAGAGGCCTGAGCTTTCTCTAACGTTTCTTAAGATACTCTGGACCTTTTCCATATGGCTTGAATCCGTCGCTATTCTTCCACAGCTTTTTATGCTCCAGCGCACCGGAGAAGCAGATACTATCACCACACATTACCTCTTTGCCCTGGGACTCTACCGCGCTCTTTATATACCTAATTGGATTTACCGTTACTTCGCAGAGAACCGCTTCCAGCCGATACCCGTCGTTGCAGGTATAGTCCAGACGCTCCTGTATTCGGACTTTTTCTACATCTATTACACAAAGTGAGTCAATTGCCCTCGCATCATACCTAACGCTAGGCTAATGGAGAACAGGGTAATGAAAGGGAAAAAATTCTCCCTCCCGGTCTAAGTGGCGACAGGACAGTTCAGATGGGTGGTGATCTAGCCGATACAGAAGGGTAGAAGCAAGATTTCACCCCCTGATTCCGATGTATGAATCAGTTCATATTACTCTGAACAGATCATGTGTGCCCTACATCATCCTGTATGTCTATCATTAGAAGCCCTTTGAAAGCATAAGGGTGTTAGATATGTATTGTATACAGAATTTTACAAGCCTAACAAGCCTCCTAACTCTTCATTGTTACCTTGCACCTGCTGCCTGTAGGCATCTTTATACATCCTGGTCGCATGAATGATCTCACTTAAATGGAAAACAAATGATTTTCTCAGATATTTCATTCTAAGCCCAGGTACTGTGACATGAGACAGACAGGAGCCAGATGCAGTCGCACACTTGCTTCTTCTTCTTTCCATCTTATAGGTAGTCAGACCTTCTCGTGTTAGTAGCATGATTTCACTCATTAATATTCTTGGTGCATCAGTAGCCGGCCCACATGGGGTATACATCTTTGGGTTCTGGGGCAACTAGACCACTAGTTAACAGTATTGGGCATTTATCCTCTTTCGCTGGTACTTGCACAGCCATGGAGAATCTGAACACCCTTGTACAATGTAGACACATTAAGAGAATAAGTATGAGCAGATCTTCAGATATTTGAAATTATTCTGAAGGGTCTGAATCTCACATAGCGCGAAATCAGCCGCTCCGCAAACCATGTTAAAGACTGCTGGATGATAGGATACTTTGACCGGTTCAATTCCGAATGACTAGAAGCCTGGATGATTCGTCTGCTCATTCGCAGTCGCATATGCCGGGCCATAACTGAGCTGAGACAAGTCACCGCCGTGGAAGGCATCTAATGTCATGGACATAGGACTTGGCAGGTTGGCCACCGATGCTCCGCTCAGCGATCTCACAGAACCTGCAATGAGGCCAGATCGTCCAATTGCGTCATGATAATTATCTGACCAGCCAGCCTGACCATTTAATTGACTCAAATAGTCTGCTTGCGCCCTTTCCAGGGTGGTTTGACCATATAGAATCGACTCTCGCCTAGAAGTTGGGGGGGAGGGAAGTCTGTGTGAACGACTCGGAGGCTCAAGTCGAGGGGAACTTCTGCTTGAACTAGGGGGCGTCAATCGTGCACCGCCCCGACGAACTCGGCATGTAGGACATATCTTGACGAATCGGGAAATGAGCTCTTTCGGGACCCTTCAAGACTAGTTAGGAGGATCAAGAAGGATAGTAGCTTCATTCCAGGTATGGTACGAGCTTGAGCAGCGTCAAGCAACAGGGATGAGGATTGCTTACCAGGAATATATCTGCCGAACCCGTGCTGATGTTTTATCCCTACCGCCATGCTGACATTGCTGATGTGCCCTCGTGAGTATTTTGAAGAGCTTTTCTCGAATGGCTACAGGTTTCCCTTCATGGCAGATAATTTTTGCGCACTTTGATCCAAATCACAATATTAGTGCAAAAAGGCTCCTTGAACTTAACAGGTGAAGTACAAACATTTGAGGATTCAATGCCAACAATTTGAAGTTTGAACATCTTTTTCACCCAGAATCTATTTTCAACAACTTAGCAACCTTTCCCATCATGAGGAGAATGGCAAGCAAGTGCCCAGACTGACACATCCAAGGGCAGGAAACTTGGGACCAGGAGTCTGGGACTGGGGAAAGGTACCTGAATTGGGCTGATTCAACGGCAGTATCTTTTGGGTCGATCAGGACAGTCCTGATGTTCCGTGCTCTTCTGGCATGGATCAATGCTTTGTCTTGTTTCTTGACTGATAGATCATCCACATAACTGTTGTACCACGTAAGTGGGTGTATCTCAGAGCATGAATTGAGAGGCCGGAATAAAACAGCTTACCATTTTATCAATTGATCAAACTCCCTCACGGTAGGAAAACCCTCCAATGGAGGAATAACTGGCTCTGACAGCATCGTGTACTCATTGAGAGATTCCTGGCTCTCTATTCCTATCTCACTGATTGCTTCACGAAGAGGTAGATACCTCGGCGACTGCAAATATCGCGCTTGCCGTGCACATTGTGCGGGTTGGTGCTGCACAACTTCATCTTCTGGGGCAACCGGAATGGAGTGCGTAGATGATTGATTGATGCTGGGAGGTAAGCCGGCCTGAGTGTAGGCGGGTCCAATTTGAGGTGCGTATGAACCGAACGTTTGCTGAGAGAAATGATGTGGTGCCGTGCCATTGCTGCTGAAGTCATGGCTATCCGCATGACTATAAGAGATGGGTAGAGCAATCTGTTGGTTCACTAAATAGTTGCCATGACCCTCGGTGATACGCCTACTAAAGCCGCTCATGCCGATGGACTGTTGCAGCTTCGCTGGTTGAACACCGTGTAAGCGTAGCTCGCAGGCGAAGACGGGTAATGATTATGGACATATGCCAGGTCTTCCTGATACCTGAAGACATGTCATGACAGAATAACTACACAGGAGGATGTACTGGGGAGAAAAACACAGACATAGAGAGACTCACCCTAGCTGTCGATATCTGGAAGACCTGTTCCGAAGTGGGTGGATATTCAGGCAAATCGCTCGCATTTATGAACGGGGAAGCACCAAAGAGGGATTGGGGTAGAATCAATTGGAGCAGAAGAACACCTGGAGGTATTGAAATGAGCCGACAACTAAATATATGTCTGAAAGGTTCGAGCCCATCCCTGACCCAGTCCAGTATGACTCGCATGAAGAGAACTGCCATACTAAGTAAGAAGCCATAACAATTGTATTCAGCAGCGATGCAAGGTCACCCCTGATGGAGGTTGGAAAGGGAACGAATACAGCTGCTGCAATCCCTGGAGAAAAAAAAGGAAAGGACAGAAGCCAGAATCCTAAACATAAGTGTGTTGAAACGATAGACGCCCTAGGGCCAGGTGAGGTCGACGCTTGAGCAGCTATGAGGGTAGGCTACGACCAGCCTGTCAGGTACCATGTATGCAGAGGGCAGCTCCTTTGCAACGAATCGCAGTGGGCTGCAGCATCAGAAGAACAAATATTCAAGTTAATGGAAATATAAGCGGCAAAAGCACTGCAACAAAGTTGGAGCTGTGAAAAGGACAGGGATCCAACGTTAGACTTTACAGGAGACGGAAAGCAGGATAATGATATGAAGACAGGAGGGGTATCAGAGGGTGAAAAGGGTCACATTGCCACTTTTGCATAATAAAATAGTCGGTCTGAACTTCTCTATTGGTTCATTGGCCAGCATATGAAATGAGAGGAAGATCGAACAGGGTGATATTGACAGTATTAGGTCTGTAAAGCTTGCTGCTCATGCTTGCAGAATAGTAGATAACACTCGGAATGTATCAGTACAGAACCTACCAGACTTCTTAATTGCTGATCCTAGGCAATCCTAATGAGACTGCATAGGTACTTCACCATTGACCACTGTCACTCTTAGGGTGGGGGATGGAGAAGGCTCATCTGAATACCATGTCTGGGCAAGTAACCACTGCAGATATCTTTTGTCCTTGAACTTTTGTTTTTCATAGTGTTACAG